TTAAAAATCATAAATTTTCTAGTAGTTTTTAAGACCTGATTGCTTTTTAACACATCAGTTATAAACAAAGTTTAACAGAAGAAGTGTTTTATGACACAGCTTCTGGATTTTTTTTTTTTTTTTTTTTAAGTCAAAGGGTGTAGAGTTATTTCATGCAAAAAACCACTAGACACTGGTCTCGGAGAAATATTTAGCTTTCAAAGCAGAACCTAATTCTTTACAAAATAAAAAAGTTGGACTATGTAGAGGCACAGCTAGAAGTGGAAAACAGATTTGCTAGGTAGAGCTCAAAGATTTTGTTTTATTTAGCAGTATTTACTTGGATAATTATAGACCAATTCTAGTATATGAGGGAAAAAAGTAAGCCCATTATTATGCTCCAACATAGTGCTACAGACCCTGCTAAGAATACCAGTTGCCATTAATTTTATATCATGTATGCAAGACACTTTAGATATGTCATTTCTGGGGTGCCTGAGTGGCTCAGTCATTAAGCATCTGCCTTCAGCTCAGGTCATGATCTCAGGGTCCTGGGTTCAAGCCCCGCATCAGGCTCTCTGCTCAGCGGGAAGCCTGCTTCTCCCTCTCCCGTTCCCCCTGCTTGTATTCCCTCTCTCACTGTCTCTCTCTCTTTCTCTCTCTCTCTCTCTGTCAAATAAATAAGTAAATAAAAAGATATGTCATTCCTAACCTACACAAAATCTTTGCAAAGTATTCCATTTTAGGAGTGAGAAAGCTCAGACTCAGAACATGTTAAAATAACTTGCTTAGGCCACTGGTAACTGGTTTAGACTGGATTTGACCTGTGACTTCAGCCCCATGCACTTTGTCCTTCAGTAGCACTTCTCAGCTTCAGCAGGTAGTCGTGAGAGAGATCTTTCAGAGACATTGGTACTAATGACTTCCCTGAAGCTTGCAGATGACAAAACTGGAGCAGATTGAACTTATTTTGGGACTATTCTTTCCCTTACTTGTGTTTTGATGTGCTTTATTGAATGGGAGAGAGACTGTTTTATTGAATGGGGAGAGAGTTAACAGCTGTTGAGCCAGGAATTCACGTACCCGCAGCATGTCTCCTCTGGGCTAGAGCCCATGGTGAGTTAGTGGTAGGTTGTTGAAGAGACTTGTGAGTTATTTTAGTACTTTGCCTTCCTAGAAAACTGTTTTGAGATTTCAAAAATCTGTATAATATATCCCATGCAAATATTGTCAAGAATGTGTATATCCTTTGTCAAAAAGAAAAAAATAACAAAGAAGGGAAATAAAAACTAAAATTGGAACATGTCCTAGTGAGAAGAGGAATAAGGAAAAAACAGTTTGAGCTGTCTTTTCCCCTGCTCCTTAAAAAAAAAATACATAGTTACCAATATTAAGAGTCTGCAGTTTTTCATTTAAGTGATAAGCTGTATCAGAAAAAGTTTAGGAACAATTTAGGATACCTCAAGGATCAGTTTTGTATTTTCCAATCAATTTTTGTTTTCTTTTCTTAGTATTAGTTCCGAAGCAGGCCTAGAAATTGATAGCCAGCAGGAAGGAGAGCCTGCTCAGGCGTCTGAGGAGTCAGATCTCCCTTCTACCAGCCAGGATCCTCCATCCAGCTCTTCTGTGGGTAAGTTCCTACTCGAGTACAACACAACTGATACACCAAACTTGTTTGCAAAAGATGATTTTGTTAGTAACAAAGAGATCATTCTTTTTTTTCCCCTGAATTAAAAATGGTTTATTTCAAAGGGAAATTGTATTTTATTAAAGGAAATGTAGTTTTAAGACTTGGTTGTACTAGAGGCGCCACAGGGCTGTGAGGGATGGGTCACGGGGAGGGCAGCTAAGGAGCAGTACTTCAGGTTTCCTGCCTCTTTAAAGGAGTTTCTTGTTATTTGTTCTACATACTAGGATTCTTACATGAGATTTGATTTGGAGAGTTGAAGGGTAGGAGGTCTGTGACTCAAAAAATATTTGAAATTTACTGATTAAACAGTTTCTAAGTTTGACTTTCAAGTTTTTGAAGTTAACTTTGAAAAAGATTATTTTATGTATTTTTCTACAATAAAAATTATTTCTGTGGTACTTTGAAAAAATAATTAACATTTATTGAGCACTTAACTATGTGTCAGACAGCATTCTAAGCCCTTTACATATATTCACTCACTCCTCACATCAACCCAATATGGTAATCACCCATATGGAAATTGAGGCACAGAAACGTGAATAACTTTTCCAAGGTACATAGCTAAAAAATGATGGGCAAGCAAGAATATGAACTCAAGAAGTTTGGTTTCAGAGACTCCACTCTTAAACAATACACTATACTAGCTTATCTGTCTCAAAATTTTTAGGTAGGGAATTACTTTTATTGGTTGAAGAAATACAGTACCCAATCATCCACACTAATTATTTTGAATTGTTTATAGCAGTAATTCTCAAATTCTGCCATGGAACCTTCACATTCTATGGAAGACCTGCTTAGTTCTTACTTTCTTTAGTCATGGGACTTTGCTATCTCAAGATCTCTCTTGCCTATCAGCTGCTTTTCCCTGACACAGCAGCCTATAAGCCGATATCCATTGATTCAGATCCCACATCTACCTTAACTAACTGCTAGTAACTTTAAATGTCTGCACAGTTATAAATGAAATATGGATAATCATAACTAGTCTTGCAGTCAGGATTAGAAATAATGTATATAAATTATATAACTCAATGCATTACACTCAGCAAGACTCAGAAATTGTCAGTTATTAATAATACAATTGCTGAAATCCTCTTCTCCCAATTATATTCTGATATCCTGTGAAAATTATCTTGGACAGTAGAATGTTACATCTTACCTAGGCTTGCACAAGAAAATATGGTTTTTGTCCCCTTTTACAGTTTCTGTAAAATAGAATGTCTTTAAATTTATTTGATAATATAAAACAATAAGCCTCCTCAGGGGCGCCTGGGTGGCTCAGTGGGTTAAAGCCTCTGCCTTCGGCTCAGGTCATGATCCCGGGGTCCTGGGACCCACATCTGGCTCTCTGCTCAGCAGGGAGCCTTCTTCCCCCTCTCTCTTTCTCTGCCTGCCTCTCTGTCTACTCGTGATCTCTGTCTGTCAAATAAATTTAAAAATGTTTATAAAACAGTAATCCTCCTCATCTGAACAGTTGTTCATTTGGTCAGTAAATATTTGAGGGCCTACCGTGTCCCAGGTGATTTGATAGAAAATATTACCAAGGAAATGACTTTTAAGTAAAGGCTGGAAAGGACAAGGGAGCAAGCTGTGCAGTTTTTTGAGGAAGGAGTGTTCCAGATGAGATCTCTAGCAGGTATCTGTAAGGCAGCAGGTGGTACATTCAGGATCAGCAAGAGGGCCGGTGTGGTTAGAGCACGGTAAGGCCAGAGAGGCAGGCTAGCAGGAGATAGGAAGGGGGTAGGGAGGAGAGCCCCAGTAGATCATTGTAATTGCTTTGGCTTTTGTGGATTTACGAAGCTTTTAGAGGGCTTCAAACAGAGTGGTGAGAAGTTCTGACTTAAAGATTTAACAGTGTCAGTTTGGCTGCTGTGTAAACAAGAGACTGAAAATGTGCAATGAGCAGAAACAAGGAGAAAGTTCGGAGGATGTTGTAAATTCGAGGTAAGGACAAGGGTGTTTGAGACAGGATGGTAGAGTGAAGTTTGTGAGAAGAAGTCAGATTTGGGAGTATGTATTTAAATTCGAGCTGGCAAGATTTGCTAATGATTGGATTTGGGGTGTCTGGGAAAGAGGATTCAGATTTGACTCACATCATATGTGGGGGTCTCTTGTTTGCTGAGGGAGGTGATACATGGTTCTTTTATTGTAGTCCCTGCCTGCTAGCACAGTGATACATGGATAGGCACCAAGTATGTATTATATGAGTGCAGTGAATGAATGAAAAAAATCAAGAACTTTTTTTTAATAAGAACATTTTTTTCACTTTTTTACCTTTTTTTGTTTGTTAAATGTCTCTTGTTAAAAGTCAAACAACTTTTAAATATTGAAAATAAATGGACACCTCTGCATTTTATCCATGCATTCATTTAGTAACTAGATTTTGCCATTATAAATGCTTTTCTTATTTTTCTTATTTTTTATTTGCTTTCTTATATTTTAATGTTTGGGTTTTTTTTCTTAGATACTAGCAGTAGTCAACCAAAGCCTTTCAGACGAGTAAGACTTCAGACAACATTGAGACAAGGTGTCCGTGGTCGTCAGTTTAACAGACAGAGAGGTAAATTTCTGACATACTGATTATGTGATAGGATGTAGGATAGCAATACATGGAACAAGTTTTCTAATCCTTAAGCTTCTAACTTTATCTAGTTTTTTTTTAATATTCCAAGGATTGATTAATTACACATTGAGCATGTGATATTTACTCATCTGTAAGCTTCTTGCAGAAAGACTTGTAAACTACAGTTATACAATGAATATGTGCTTATATTTCATATTTATTCATTTCTTCCTTGAATTCAAAATAAGATTTGGAGAAGCTAAAGTGTTGCAGTACTAGATAGTTATTTGTTACCTCCCTGCCTGTTGTTGTTACACTTTTTACACAACAGAGTAAAGCTTTGTGACTTTAACTAGTTCAAAAAAATTAAAAATTTTAATATCCCCATGTTTTCTGATGTAATCCTTAGAGATTGTATCCATGCCATGAAACTATTAATCTAATTGTAATAATTTTCAACTGAAGATGTGTGAAATGTCTAACACAGTTTTATATCTATATATCTAGATATTTGATATTGAAAGCAATTTTTATAGTGACCTAGGGTAAGTGAATACTCCAGTTTTGAGGTAACTTCTTCAAAGATGCATTCAGTTTGGTTATTTTTTTCTCTTATAGGTGTGAGCCATGCAATGGGAGGGAGAGGAGGAATAAATAGAGGAAATATTAATTAAATGTCCTGTAAACTGTAATAATTGTGAATAAGATTCTCAAGCCTGTTTTAGTGTAATGATTGTCGAGATTAAAGACATTTTGTATTTAAATTGGTATGCTTCTCTCAACATTCTTTATTAATAAAATGTATTTCAATGTCAAAATTTTTCATTCTTCATTTAATTAGTTGACTCTTCCTTTGCCGGTGGGTCTAAGGACAGTTGTACCAGACATTGGATAAGCTCCGCCCAGAACGAGTGGTAATGACTCTTGCTGTTCTACTGGGTTCATCGACGTTATAGTATTGATCTAAGTAGAAGAGAAATCATTTTTTAATTAAAAAGAAAACAAAACACCTGAACTTAAAAAAAAGTTTGTGTTGATTATTGTACTCAAAGATAGTGTTTATCATTTTAATATCAGAAATGTTTGTATTAATTAATTTGAACTTTCTGACAAAAACAAAACAATTGCCTTGACAGATTGACCTGTCACCAGCTTTCTATAAAATCAGGTTCAACTCTCCTTTTTCAACGTAAGAGTTTGAGAAAAACTAAGTCTAAAAAACAATAATTTACTTCAGCTTTATCCTTTAAGTAGAATAACTTAGATTTCCGAGTTTTTCAAAGAAAAGTGCCCCCAAGTAGCATAATTTAATTTTTATTAATTAAAAACAATTGGTTTCTTAAAAACTTCTTTGTGATCTTCAGGACTTGTGAAATGATTCAAGTAGTATTTTGTGGCACCCAAGACCTTCATTAAATGCCACAGGTAATGTAAAATATTGTTTTAGTAGCAGTTTTACTCAAATAATTGGATGATGTATCATAATAGGCTTAATCTCATGAAGGATAATGCAGAATTGAATCACAACCCATTCAATTTAATTAAAAGTAAAGTGAAAATCTACACTCTGTCTTCTTCGGAGCAATTGGAATATGTATTATAGTTTAACTTCTCACTTTTAGTCACCATTGAACACTTGTTTTTGCTTTGGTTATATTCATGTTTTAGAGATTAGAGCGCATCTTTAGGAAGCTAAGAAGTTGCTTAATAACTTACTCCTAGAAAAGGCGTAGTAATCATAGCCATCGGGTCTTCTAATGTTGGGCAGTGCTATAGCTGAAGTAACCACATTTGGAAATCCTCTCCACTGTAAACTCATTTTAACTTCATTATGGAGGAAACCTGTAGATTTAAAGATACCAGACTAAATGGATTGTGCTGTAGGGAAGAGCAGCCCTAAGAATCGGACAGATCTGGGTTTGAATCCCAGCTACGTTGGGTGACTTATTTAACTTAGGTGCCTCAGTTTTTGCCCCCTCGGACATGGTACAAATACCTACCTGTTAGGACTCTGCTGAGGTTTGTAGATTTATATGTGATGTTCTTGGTAAGAGGTATTTGATAAATGGCATTTATTACAAATAACAAACCTGAATAAATTGCATTCTTTACTCACAAAAAAACCAATATGTACATATTGATCTGGTCATTCACTGAGGCCAATTGATGTTTTGAATCACTAATTTTAAATTATTGGGGCTATTTAGTCACTATTTATATTCAATAAGCTCCATTCTGTGAGATAAACTGTCTGACGTCTATTTCATGTGTAAGAATTTTTAACGCAGGAAGAAACATTACCTTTTTCTTGATAAGAGACTCTGATGGGTGAATAGTGAATTCTGATGGTGTGTGTTTGAGAAGGTCCTATGGCACGTTCAAAGCGACGTCTCCTAACCTGTGTTGTTTCTCCATACACTGAGTAATTGATAGCAGGCCTTCTTCCAGGGCACTTTCTGATGGGTTCCTGTTTATAAATATACTGCTGAACGCCGCCACCTATTATGTAGTAGAAGATCACATGTGATGAGAAAATTAAGCTCAATCCCCCAGAAAAGTGGAAAAGAGCTTTTACAAGGTAGAGGAAATGATCAGTGTTTCTCATAAAGTATGTCCAGACATTAATAATGGCTAATAGTCGAGGGTATTATAAAATAATTGCTAAATGCTGAAGAACTTGTTGAATGAATAAAACCAACGAATTACATAATTTTTATTTAACTTCATTTGAAAGTAAATGATGACCTTTATATGATGACCTGAAAATTCAGGTGAAACTGTAATTTGCATGCTGAGAGCTCTGAATATATTTTACTGTCCTCAGTTTTTTCATTGAAAACAATTTGATTACAGCCATTAAAGATCTTTTGACAGTAAACTCAGTAATAAATGAAAATACTGAATAAAATTTCCCAGGCAAATCAGTACTTAGAAGTTTGGTAATTTTGTCAGTTATTGTAAACATACCTCTCTTGAAAAAATACACAGATTCAGGTCTGTCCTTGTGTTTAGCTATTGAGAGAGCTGCCACTATTTTTCCATTTAGTCCTCCAAATCCTTTTACAATTTGTTTGGGGTACCCGGGATCTTTTATATCATTGGTGAAACGCCAGTACTGGGAATCCTGTTGATTTAACAGAGGAAATAGTGTTAACATCTTGGAATAGAAAAGTTAGGGATTCATTCTTAAATGTAAATACAGGGAGAAAGTTTTAACTTCGTTAAGTGAATAATTTGGTCTTTGATGTTACCCAATTGTTAGCTTTTTATTAAATTTTGATGATAGAATAGTTTAATAAAATATGAAGACCCGGGGCGCCTGGGTGGCTCAGTGGGTTGGGGCCTCTGCCTTCGACTCAAGTCATGATCTTAGGGTCCTGGGATCGAGCCCCACCTCAGGCTCTCTGCTCAGCGGGGAGCCTGCTTCCCCCTCCCTCTCTGCCTGCCTCTCTGCCTGCTTGTGATCTCTCTCTCTGTCAAATAAATAAAATCTTTAAAAAAAAATACGAAGACCCTTCTGAAGTGGAGGTTAAGCTGACTTATGCTCTTAAGATAAGGAATAGCTAGTTGCTGATTTCTTACCTTAAAGAAGAAAGTTTTTCCTTCACAATTGCATCGAGTAAAAACCGTATCAACGGGAGAAGGAATACCCCAAACTTCAGTAATTTTACGAGGTGGAGATGGTGGATTGAATGGACTCAGCATCCAGAAATAATGACCTTAAATTGAAAGTGGTAGATCAGCCTCAACTGAATGAATATAACTTATCCCAAAAGAAACCAAAATGAAAAATTGCTAATTCATCATTTAAAACAAAAAGTGTGTTAACATATTATATGACAAGTTTAGTCAACACTGTGAGGATTAGTACAGAAGTTAGTATTTGAACATTGCTGAGAGTAGATATTTCTCAGGTCTGAAGTTCAGTATAGCCTTTGAAATATTTTAGTTTTCCAGTTTCTCTAGAAAGATCCTTCTGGCTTTGTGAGTTACAGAAAAGCACTTATCTCCGTTTCTTTATCTTTTAGAATTGAGTTATAATTCAGTGACTGCTAAAATCTCTTGGGCCACTATGGTGCTCGTGTAGGATTTGTTTCCTTTCAGATTTAATCTAAATATAAGAGGACTGGCCCAGCAGAGAAGCAACATGAAGTAACTGCTGTTCTCCTGTTAGGTTCCCACAGGATGTAGCACTTTTGAACACGTTGCAATCAGGATGTTATTTTCATATAACATAGAGCAGGGAATACAAATACAAACCTGGATATCATGTCACTTGATATGAAATTAAAATTTGAACTACCTTTTAATTACTAATGGAAAGAAAAAAATTAGTAGTATCAGTTCAAGCTGTTTTATTTGTTACTCTAATGTGTTTAATTCTGTTAATCCTGTATTTTGGTAATTACTTTCATGTTCCCATATTGTGTGAGTTAAGTTCATCAGTCAGGTTCCCCTCCAGAAAGCTCAACCCAAGCTTCCGCTCTCCTTTGGTTCTCGTAAATGCCAAGAATAAAATGATGGGCAGAAGAAAAAATACGTGCATAGCTCACCTCGAAATGCAACCAGTGTTCCATTGCGCAAAGTAGTCAGTCCATCTACTGGCTTACCGTTGCATAAATTAGTCTCATCTAAAACAAAAGATTAAGCCGATACAAAAGAAAATGAGAAAAGAGTTTATGTTCTTTTCAAATCCTCCCACAGGGCTGTTTCCTCTGTTCACATTTTCCTAAGCTGTTGAAAGGGCAAGTAGGAGGTGTGCATATTTCAGAAACGAAAAAGAAGAGCCATATTTCATAATTGTTTTACTTAAAGGTGATATTATTCAAAAAGTAATGTATAAAAATTGGAATGGGCCAGGTTACCTGATCTTTATGTAAATTAGATAATTACTAGATGTTTGATCCCAACACAAAATTTCATTTTTTAGTTCTGATTGCCCTTTGGAATTGGTGTGGAAAAGAGAAAAATGTTGCAGACTTTTGCCTTGCATTGTACTCTTATAAGAATACGCTCCCAACTAAATTTTTTTGACATTCTGTACACCATCTCTGCATATAGACACAAATGCACTAAATTCCTTATTATTCAATTTTCCAAAGACCAAATAATCTTACGGTGATTACTCCTCTGTTTACCTACGGAGAAGCTGTAAAACTCTGCAAGATAATACATATCAATAGCGAGATACTAACTCAGGGTATTCTGGCCCAGATAAATTTAAGTTAACATTACCAGTTTTAAAACTGGACATAACTGATGCTTATTACCTGAAAGCATGGGATTGATGGCGATGTCTTGATTGGATCCTCTCACCAAGGTACCAGTACCTGGGATAAATATAGGGGTTAACACAGGGGGCCTGGGGATCATGTGAGGTTTTTCTCCAGCAATATCTGCATCTTTATTTGGATTTACTTCAACTATTTCTGAGTTAAGTCCCTGGTTGGGGCTGGTGGTAGTTTGGAGCATGGCTTCCTCTGAAGAGGTAGGGTGTAATGTAGGCATTGTCGATGTAGTCATCTTTGGGGGAGTTGCTGTAGTCTTTGGTTTTCTCCCTTTAGGTACTGTTTTTGGCTTTTTGGTAGAAGTAGGCCTTTTTGGTGCTTTGGTTGGCTTTCGGGGTTTGGAAGTTGACACTTCAGGTTTCTTGGTTGTATCTTTGGGCACAGCTGTGGTTTCTTCAGGTTTAGTCACAGTCTCTTCCATTGTAGTTGTCTTTTTTGTTGTAGTCATTTCTTTGGGTGCAGGAGTTGTTGCTCTAGGAGTACTTTTGGACGATGTGATAGGAGTTACTTGTGTGGTTGTACTTGTTTTGGACTCAGTGGTCTCTTCTGTTGGAATTGCTGTCTCTTGGGTTGTAATCTTAGGTACAGCACTTGTAATTTCAGGTTTCGTATGTGTGTCTTTTTCTGTTTTGTCTTTAGCTGTTGTCATTTCAGGTTTGGTCACTTCAGGAGCCTTGGTTACAGGTACAACAGGTTCCTTGGGACTGTTCTCAGGAGGCTTTGGTGTGGGTTCTGCAGGCGTTGATTCAGCAGGGTTCTTGGGAGTAGTGGGAGGAGGCTCCATGGTGGTAGTTGTAGTAGAGGCCTCTGAGGTGGTTGGAGCAGGTGTCTCAAGAGGAGCTGGAGCAGGCTTCTTGGGAACGGTGGGTGCAGGCTCCTTGGGGGCAGTGGGTACAGGCTCTTTGGGCATGGTGGGTGCAGGCTCTTTGTGGGCAGTGGGTGCAGGCTTCTTGGGGGTGGTGGGTGCAGGCTCCTTAGGAGTGGTAGGTGCAGGCTTCTTAGAGGTGGTGGGTGTTGGCTCCTTGGTGGTGGTGGGTGCAGGTTCCTTGGGAGCTGTGGGTGCAGGCTCTTTGATGGTAGTGGGTTCAGGCTCCTTAGGAGTGGTAGTTGTAGGCTCCTTGGGCGTGGTAATTGTAGGCTCCTTGGGCGTGGTGGGTGCAGGCTCCTTAGGAGTGGTAGGTGCAGGCTTCTTAGGGGTGGTGGGTGTCGGCTCCTTGGTGGTAGTGGGTGCAGGCTGCTTGGGGACTGTGGGTGCAGGCTCCTTAGGGGTGGTGGGTTCAGGCTCCTTGGTGGTAGTGGGTGCAGGTTCTTTGGGGGCTGTGGGTGCAGGCTCCTTAGGGGTGGTGGGTGTCAGCTCCTTGGTGGTGGTGGGTGTTGGCTCCTCGGTGGTAGTGGGTGCAGGCTCCTTGGGGACTGTGGGTACAGGTTCCTTGGGGGCTGTGGGTGCAGGCTCCTTAGGGGTGGTGGGTGTCGGCTCCTTGGTGGTGGTGGGTTCATCCTTGGTGGTGGTGGGTTCAGGCTCCTTGGTCGTAGTGGGTGCAGGTTCTTTGGGGACTGTGGGTACAGGCTCTTTGGTGGTAGTGGGTGCAGGCTCCTTAGGAGTGGTAGGTGCAGGCTTCTTAGGGGTGGTGGGTTCAGGCTCCTTGGTGGTGGTGGGTTCAGGCTCTTGGGTGGTAGTGGGTGCAAGCTCCTTAGGAGTAGTGGGTGTGGGCTCCTTGATGGTAGTGGGTGCAGGCTCTTTGGTGGTAGTGGGTACAGGCTTTTTGGGAGTAGTGGGTTCAGGCTCCTTGGTAGTAGTAGGTGTAGGCTCCGTGGTGGTGGTGGGAACAGGGGATTTGGTTGTAGTTTCAGCTTTGGGTGTAGATTTAACAGGAGCTTTGGATGTGGGTATAAAATCTTCAGCAGGTGTTTTCTCTGCGCTTCGTGTCTCTTTAGTTGAAACAGTCTTCTCTTTTGTTCCACTTGAAGTCTCTTTTTTTGTTAAAGAAATCTCTTTAGTTTCAGCTATTGTCTCTTTATTAGGTTTTGAAGGTGTCTCTTTGGATGGATCAGAATTAGGTGGAAGACTGGGTTTAGGATTTATTGGTTTGCCTGTTGTAACCTTGGGAGATGTGGTAACTTTATTGCTTTGGGTAGTAGGAGTGTCAGGAGTTGGGGTGAGCTTGATGTCACCGCTATCCAGTCCACTTCCAGCTTCATTTACAACTGGTGGTTCTGGGGTAGGTTTCTTTTTAGGAGTTTTTTCCTTCTTGTTATCTGTTACTAGAAAAAAATATACACATCTTTTATTTTTGAGTAGTTTTCTTTTCAGTAGTGACCTAAAGATCCCATCCTTATCAACTAGCTGTGTATCCCAAGCAAACTGCTAACCTATAATATGTCTATTAATTTATTTTAAAATGGTGACTACTGAACTTAATCTGATGGGGCTATTTTGGGGAATTAATGAGAAGGAGTGAAAAGCACAAGTTAAAGTCTGTACAATTAATGAAGAGAAACAAGTAGCAACTTGGAAATTACCAACATGATCAACAACACTGTCATCTCTATATGAATGCTCTTTGCCCCTTTCTCCACTCCTCTTACTTCACATTGCTCAGTGACCCATCTGCCCCCCTGGAAACCTAGTTCCAACATCTTGTAAATTCACTGCGCCAGTTGCCTCAGAGGCCTCTACAACTACACCCCAGGAATCTGCTCCAGTCACTCCAATGGTCCCTACTAAGCTCTGTGTCCACACACATGGTTGTTAGCGGCTCTCTTCCTGGGCACACCTAAATTCAGCAGCCCACCAGGGGATACAGAGAGGAGATTAGGATGCCATGGCAGCAAAAGAAATCCTGTTTAACAGGATTTCTCACAGCAGCTGCCCCACAGGTGAATTTCAGAGTCCAAAGAGCATATCATGAGCTCATCACTGAGATGAGTTCCATTTAGCAAACATGGACTGCACTTCTGTGGTGTTCAAGACTCTGGATGATTCAAAGACTATGTATTTGGGTATTTAGCCAAAGAAAACGCTTCAGGGGAAATAACCACCCAGGAAATAGAGTTCTTCAAAACTACAGTATCCAAAATTCAGTATTTCCTGGAGAAAGAGAATATATTTTAGAATTTCAAGAACTAATGAAAAGCAGAACAAAGGGAATCTCTTTTCAGAAGGTAATAGCCTAATCTGTAGTACATTCTCTACTACCAAAAAAAAAAAAAAATCAGCCAGAATGACACATTATTTAATTAGAAAAATAATAAAAAGGAGCTGCAAAATGTGGATAATAATATTGGCTTTCCCAGAGATTCATATGAGACTTTAATGGATTAACATTCTAAAGCACTTAAAGCAGCATATAAATGTTTGCAAAATAAGTAAAAATTAAAGGAAAAATAACAGGAATAAGAGAGAAGAAGAAAGAAAAATGGATCAGGTGGACAGGAATTAAACTCAAAAACCCAAACCGAACATCTCTGATGTCATCTCTGGTTCCAGAGCTGCCGCTCTAGCATCTTCTTATCCTTTGTTTAAAGAATGGTTTCTTAACTGCTTTGCACTAATTTCCTAAAGGAAGTTCTCAATAGTATCTTCTACAATAATTTTTACAAATCTATACACGCCCCAAGTACTGAAATGTCCTCAAATCATTGTTCTAACACACATTGCCTTTAGGTAACTATTATTAATATGGCATTGATATAGTCTTTGATCTTTATCAATGCTCAAACCTTTGGGTTTCTTCTTTAATTCTTTATTAGCAGCTGAATTTTTGGAAGACTTGATTTTCCGAATAGTTGAAGAGGAAGAGGAAGAGGAGGAAGACTCTTGATTTTCAGAAACAGAATGTTCTATAAATCAAATAAAAAGGTTGATCACACCAACTGTAATTTAAAGCAAAAAAAAAAAAAAAGAAAGAAAAGAAAGAAAACCGCCGGTCCAAATACAGCAAGAAATAATGTTTACTGAGCTACAAACCTCCCTGTTTTGCTTTTATCAGTAATATGATCAACTCTTCTTTTGTTAGTTAAAAAGTAAGGTAGCTAAGCTCATCATAGATACGAGTAATATAACTATTTTACTTTCAACTTTCCCCTCTCTCACAGAATCTAATTATTCTGCAGAAAATCACCTGGGATTTTTTTTTTTTTTCCCCCAGTGAGCTGTGTTTCTTCTGATTTTTTTAACCTACACCCATGCTGGGTTCATTTATAAGAAAAATAAATAGATGATGGTTTATAATTTGGTTAAAGAAAAATAAACAGCTGAGGGCTTATAATTTGGCTTAAACTTTGACTTAAAAACACATTTTAAAAAGTGTAATGAGCCCTTCATGACTCACATGATTCCCTTATTCTATGAAGAGTCTTATTAAAAAGTAGTCCGCCTACAGCTCAGTCCCTCTCAAAACCTTTCATGACATCTGCCATCTTCCTACCTTCTGTTATTTCCTCTGACTCTATCACTTTCTTAGTCGTCTTCTTGTTTGGCGCTTTGGGTGAACGTTTGGTTGTTGATTTGATGGTTTGAGATGCTCCCGGAGGTGGAGGTGCAGTCTTTGAAGATGGTGATGTGGGATTATGCACTGAGGCCAAGCAAGACAGGTGGATTAACATCCTGTTGACATTCGTCAGTAACTCTTAACTGTGGGAGGCACTGATGCACCTGGCTTCCAAGAATCAATGCTGGTGAAAGCCAGCGTAGGCGGGCTCTCAGCCTAACACTAGTTACTCCAAAGCGATGAATTCTAAAGATGCACTGCCAGGAAATATTGGTTCTGAAATCGTTGTAAGTTATGACCAAGGGCAAAGGCTCAGAAAGGGTCAGAAAACCTGAATTGCAGTCTTAGACCTGCAGGGTGCTACTCTTGTGACCTTGAGCAAATGAGCTAACTCCCTCTTGAACTTCATTTTCTTGTCTGCGAATTGAGATGTTTCTTCAGATTATGATTTCTGAAGCTATTTCCTGGCCTAAAACATACTTGACTCTCTCAGTTCCAGTTCTTCTGCCCATTTTTGTGTTGATGGAAGTAATAATTGCTTGCGAACAACAGGTATTTGTGCTCTCGGGAAGAGGAATATAATAATTACATTTGTCTTGTTTTCATATTCGTTTAAATCAAATGATGCCAATTCACCTCTTTTTTTTTTTATTACAAAAGATCTACATGAATACTCTTGAAAAAAGTTCACACCTTCACATTATGCCTTTCTCAAAATCTGTGGCCCTTCCCCAAGTTAAACAACCGTCAGTGGTTCGGTGTGCATCTTTGAAACCTTTTCTCTCCCGCCTGCCTACCCTTTTTATGTCTAGAAGAGAAGGCACGGGACATGGTTTGATTGTTAGGAACCAGAGGAAAAGGAGAAGGACTTCTGAAAGATAAGAAAGCAGAGGACAGTGGGGACATTTTGAGTAGAGAGTCCTGATAAATCTCACTGCTCTTGCGGAACGTTCGTCCCCTAGGAACTCTGTCCAATGCAATCTCCAGGAGCTGACGACCACACTTCTTCCTCTGCCTCCCCCACCAAAGAGCTCAATATAAGAACCAGTTCTGCCATACTAGCTAGTGATCTTGAGCCAAACAACCTCTCGGACTGTTTTCTCACCTACATTTCTTCAGTTCTTGAAAATTTAAAATTTGGGGATACGTAGATGCCTATAAATAGTATCTATAGCAAACCTGAAACAACTAAGGGGTGACTGGTAAGATAGTTTGGTTGCTATTTTTAAAAAAATGAAGTAGTGGGGCGCCTTCGGCTCAGGTCATGATCTCAGGGTCCTGGGATCGAACCTGCTTCCCCCTCTCTCTCTGCCTGCCTCTCTGCCTACTTGTGATCTCTCTCTCTCTTTGTCAAATAAATAAATAAACTCTTAAAAAAAACAACAACAACAAAGTAGTGAAGCTCTGGGTGGTTACATCCTTTTCAGTGGAAACCCTGTCTTTGTGAATTCTGTAAATGAAGCATGACCATCAATTTTTCTGTTGCATGTAAGCCTCAGGTAATCTGACCCACCACCTGGTGGCATAAAGCATTGTCTTTATTAACATGTCCTTGCAGTGCTTCATCACTCTCTAACTATCCTCCCTCCCCACCCATCCTCTGCCCAAAATAAAGTCTTAGTTTTTTTGTCTCGCAGCCAAAACAATTATCAGGGCACTGAGCAAATATGTATCCTTCATCATAAGATCCATCTGAGAGCTGCAGGAACTCTGTGCTCCGAGTTTTTGATTATATGGGTGTAGTCTCCATCATTTCTGGAATGCTGTCCAATGAAAACATTGAACAGTTAAGAAATAGCCCTCAACTATGCTGATTAACAGTTTTTTACCCTATTTCTCCACTGTTCAAAAGAAGCAGGATTACAGCCTTGTTTAAATAAAATGATATTATGCAAGCAATGCTTATTTTCACCTTTACCTCCACAAATATTGTTTTAAAGGAGAATTTAAGAGCAAACATTTGGTAAAAGAAAGGAATTCATTTTTGGGTGGGTTTTTTTGTATTTTTATTTATTTATTTATTTTGGGGGGAAACTCTGAAGAGTTTTGTTATACTCTCAGAGTATTCCTTTAGAACCTAAAACCAGAGAAGAGGATTTTAAAATGGAACAATATCCCTTTTTATTGACTCTATGACACAGAGGGATTTAGACAGAGATGACAATGGACTGCAGAGATGAGAAGACACGTACAACAGAAGGTTAACTTAATAGATTTGCCTATAAATTTAATGTCTTTAACTCCTAAACTGACTAGTTTAGAGAGAAACTGAAAGTGTTGTTCTGTCAATATACACTATTCAATATATATTCAATATACACTCAAAAACACTAAAGCCAAAAATACAGCTAGCTCAAAGCACCACTGACTTTGTGGGGTCAGCACCATTAGGATGAGACAAGAAGTCCCTGAGTGAGCTTGTTACCATTGACTTCACCTGAAATCGGACCACACTGGAGGAAAAAGCACGTCCACTCAGCCCCTATCCTCTCTGTTCCTTAACCAGCCATCTCTGGCTCTCCCGGAGCCTGGCGGAGCCAGGCAGTGCTGTTGGAAGAGGCTTTCCTTCTTTAATTCATTCTTGGTGAAGCAAAATTAAAACGAAATGGCTGTTAGTAAAAGCAAGTCCCTAGGTGGAGTGCGCATTAGACATCATCAGCAATGCTAAGGCAGGTGTGCAGGTTTGCAGCATAGAGAGATGCTGAGAGACGCTGATTGGCACCATGATGCTTACCTTTTCCACAAAAATTCTCATAATCAGGACAGCACTTGCCATACTTCTTACAATCTGAGTCACAGTCACACTCCCTCCCTCTTGCGAAGGACTCGAAGCAGCGGCCTTTACAGGAAAGCTCTACCCAGAGCAAAACAAAACATTACGGATTACTAATTGTGCAGCCACCCCCACGTTCTCATCGCCATTTCCTAACTGAGAGCTGACTAGAGTTCCAGAAGTGTATTTCTGAGTCTTTCATTTGGAATTTGGAAAACAGGTGGTTTTCCAAGTAGAGAAGTCAAGAAAGAAATATGATGACTCAGAGAAACTTTACTCGCCCTCCAAGGCTCCAAGAGACACCCAGTGCTGTCTCAGTCATTTCACATATGCACGATGGGAAGGTGGGAACCCTTCACATGGAATCCTTCCACCCTCCACTTCACACCACCGCTTTATAATAGATGTTTATTAAAGGAACTTTCGGACGGACCTCACAACAATATTCCAAAGAGCTGACTTAACATAGGTGAGTCCCTGTTTAGGCTCAAAAATCATTTATAGAATGCAGAGAATTTTATCTGACAAACTGAGCAAGAGTTGAAAGATTTCAGCCTAATTCCATGGCATGAATTATGCATGCTCATGTCAAAACAAGCCTTGGCTAGAAACACACTTACCAAGGCCTCTTTGAAATGATTACCTTATAGGACACATAACTGTACAGCAATATATTTATCAACTTCATGTGCAAATTCTAAAGTGAACGTAACTCTGAACCACTTTTAATTGCAATTTTCAAAAGTTGGAGATGGAACATCCCTGTGTTAAAAAAAAATGATCCAAAATGTGTTCAAGGATACCACTCGTACTTTACAATTCAGAGCCTTTGGGTTCTAATTGAAATTCCTCATGAAACACGCATGCTTCATATTTAAAGAGCCCTTTTTCAGGTACTCTAGAACATTCTCCTATCAAAAAGTCCAACAGTAGATAAGCTTATTTTATATGCATGGATTCTTTTGATGAAACTCTTGAAGAACCCCAACACGAAGCAATTACATCTCTGATTGGTCGTGAGTAATTACTTACTGCTATCTACTTAATGACTCCAGAGTCACAGTATTCTCTATTTAAAAGAAGACATTTTGCTTGGGACTAGTCAAGAAACTTGTGCACCTGACGGATTTCCAGGCTCCCCTCCCCGCCCTCCCCCATCTCCCCACCCTCCGGAGGCACAACCTTTGATACCATCCTTAGGTACAGCACACTGCAACATGGATGCGAGGAAGGGAAAGGCACTGGAGCAAAAAGAAGCACAAGAGTGTGGAAACAGCGCAGCAAGGGGGTGCGAGGGGACTCCCGGAACGGTGTGGCGAGACAGGGGAGACACTAGCTGTCCGGACTTACCCACGGTGCAGACTTTCTTGAAATCAGGGCAGCACTCCATGTAGTGTTGACAGTTATAATCACAGTTGCAGGTGGCTTCTCTAGAATACCCTTCCCCACATCTCCCTGCACAGCTCGGTAAATCTAAAATTACACAACACTAGCGTAAACATGGCCAAAACGCATCCCCGGAAGGAAGAGACCTCATGAGGAGGATAAAGCCACTTGGCGAGGGAGAGTTTTATCCATTTTATCCATTTTCCAATGGTCGGGAATGATGGGTAGCAATGGGTCCAGAGGACCTTAGCCTGATTGCTGACATGACCTTGATCATGCCACTTTATGCTTCACTGAGTGAGAAGGTAAATACACTTTTGAAAATTAGGCAAAGTTAACAGTTTTGCAAAAAGTGGGTGACATTCCTGGGGGAAAGGGGGACAGCTACGGCTCTCCTGAGGCAGCCACAGAGGAGGACTAGTTGACCTTTATTCAGCCTCTCTGTGCTGGGCACGAAGTCATATGTTCTCTCTCATGTTTATAAAAATGTTACCAGGAGAGTATTAGTAGCCTCTTTTGAGAGATAAGGAAGCTGAAACACAGAGACTTTAATAACCAGCGGGACACCCAGTTAAGACTTCTAGGATATATGTATTACAGGTCAATTAATACCTATTAATTATTCATTTTGAACACTTTCACTCTCAGAAGTGTCCTGATTTGGATAGTACACTATATGGTCACCTAGAATCTGAACTCTGAAATCTCTGATTCTAAAGCCCACACTTTGTCCACCCAATCACATTGTCTCTTATCTCTCATGTTAAGTTTAAAAAAGCAAGCTGATCATGCCAGCAACAACTTCCCTAGGCTTCCTCTTCTTTTCGTTTGTGAGGATAACCTCTTTCTTTAAATGCTGAGGTAGTCACATGCTTCCAATCACAACTACAGCGAGTACAAAATAGGTTAACTGTTCAATTAGCACCTAGGCTTGAGTATAAAGGTCAAAGTTATTCTGAGTAAAACAAAATGAAAATACAAACAAAAGTGTAATGATCCTCAAATGTATTTTTAAAAATCACTTGGAAGGGGTGCCTGGGTAGCTCAGTGGGTTAAAACCTCTGCCTTCGGCTCAGGTCATGATCTCAAGTTCCTGGGATCAAGCCCTGCATCGGGCTCTCTGCTCAGCAGGGAGCCTGCTTCCCTTCCTCTCTCTCTGCCTGCCTCTCTGCACTTGTGATCTCTGTCTGTCAAATAAATAAATATAATCTTAAAAAAAAAAAAAAAGAAGCACTTGGAAAACACCTTCCTGAGAGAATAACCACAAAAATGTGACAATGGAATCCATCTCTGGAATGGAAACTGTCAGGTGCACTGTCCTAAAGCCATACGGGGAAGCTGAACCACACTGGAGAAATCTCAAAATAATGAGTCCGGGGAAGTTTAAGTCTTCGTGTACAAAGAAAATAGTAAATGTTAGGTCAACTTCACAACTTTTTGCATACATATGTGCACGATACAATGCATATATAGTGTATGTATATAAATACATATATTATATATATATAAAGGAAAAAGAATGAGAAGAGGTTGAGAAGGCAAGAAAAGCAGACAACAAACACAACATTAAAGGCTATCCTTTTGTAGTTAGCAGAATTCTGAAATAGGACATCAGTTACCTTTATAAGAAGTGCAATTATTTTCATAGATTAAATGACTTTTATCCTTTTATTGTTGTTAATTTTAGTTAATTTTAAATTCACTCATTTAAAGGAAAGTAAAAGCATTTTAGAGAACAATTGATCTTACTACAGAGGAAAGGTAGCTTAGGAAATGCTCTCAGTGTTGTGAGCCTAATAATACATCACGAGAGAGCAGAGGAGTCTAGAGATACATTAAATATTATAAATATAAATATCCTTATTAAATATTCACATCTGCTTTCATGTGTTTTTCCATCTTATCTAAGTGATTCTGAAACTATGTCCATGGCAGGCAGTTATCTCTCATGCTTAGGCTGGTGGGAATTTTAACTATTTTCCTGGAAGTGCCTATTTTATAAATATAATTTCACCATAATAATCCTGCACCTTGATTTTTCTTTTCTCCTGTTTTGCTAATAAAAAAAAAAAAAGGAAACAAAAATCCAACGCTTGGTATTATTGTCACTCATCAACTTTGATCGCATGTTAGAGACTTGGGCTAAGGTGACTGCATTGAATTTATCTTCACATTCTCAAAAATGAGTAGCAAGGATTGTTCATCCAGCACTGACTGAGTAGTTCAATGTCATAATATATAATATATATATTATATATATATTATATAATATATAAGATGATATGTATGGGAGTGGAAGTCCATATCTGGATGACTAGTTCTTGTAAGAAAGACAGAACTTTCAAGATTAATACAAGGCCATTTGAAACTTTGTAAATGTTCATTGTTACATGATACCTAATTCTACATGATGCTTGATAAATCATCAATAATTTATGTGATGTAAAAGACTAGTTAAATTTATCATACATGGAAGTGAAAATTACATGTTATTTCAACATTGTTCTTTTCAGTTCATCTAATGATACTCTATCACACTAGCATAGGTGTATCCTGTGTCTGTATTTTGTTGAAATTTTGGAAGAACCATAAAAATAAGGAGCACAAAAATTATTCTACAGGAAAACTCAAAACTTAAAAGATTTCATAAGACATCAGAAAAACCTGAGAATTCCAAAATGTTTATAAATATACCACATCTGCTTCACATAATTTTAAAATTGTACATTAAGCTCAAACAAATACATGTCTTTAGAAATCTATTTCTTTTGTTGTCATAATGGTCAACACAGAATGATTAGCAGCAGCTGTTAAATAAACGTCTCTTTGATGGTCAAGGTACCTTGAGAAGAAACTTGCTGAATCAAGAAAACAGAAAGTAGCAGCAAGTATATGGGAAGTATTTTCCGCTCCATGGCTGTTTCCAGGTACCGAGCCCTCACTGAAAAGAAAAGAAAAGAAAAGAAAAGTATCAAAACTGCTCTTTAATCTTACCACTAGTTTATGTCTGTGTTACTTACTGTCAATACTTTTTAAAAGGAGATTTAATGATAAAACCATCCCACTCTTGAAACAAGACTTTTAAAAATGATCAGCCTTAGTTCTATCACAAATATTTGGCCATTAGACTTAATCTTATGCAGAAAAAATCATTAAGTCACCATCTCGATCATGTTACCGACCACTTTAATACTTTTGAATCCCCCCAAATGGAAAACAGCCTGATTTCAACACTATTTGAATTACAGCATATACTTACAGTGCAAGGTTTAAATCCCAGCTTGGGGAAAAAAAGAACCAGCTTCAGTAAAATGTAATTTGACAAACACAGAAGTGACCATTCCAACTTTCCCTTAACTAACTCTCCATTCAAATCTGTGAGCTTCCAACAGGTGTACTGCCGAGCTGTGGTCCTTTTCAAAACTTTCCTACTCCTATCCTTATAAACCTTTTTCAAACTCCTTGACTAAAGCATATCCCTATTGAATTGAAAACACATTTAATTCCATGAAGCAAGTTAACTTTGACACTTACCCGTAAAAGCAATAATGAGTTTTTCCAGTGTCCTGGAAGTCTTATATATCAGTGCAAATAAATTGGGATGAACCAATTAGTCCAAAGGTTAGACAGAATCAACAGTGACAACCTATGAAATCAAAATTTCCTCATTTGTTGGAAGAGGGCCCAGACAGCTAGACTTAGGCAACATCTGGAAAACACTCCCATTAAGAAAAATGACTACTACAAAATAAATTTAGAATTATTGGCCAAAACACACTTCTAATTTCTGAGTGAAATGAACAAATTGTTCTGAGATGATAAATAGTCCTGACAAGTCTTGACCAGCATATCAAAGCACCAGTGTCAAAGTAGTCAAAGGCTGCTGTCCCTTCTTCCTTTTTTTAATCCTCCCCCACCACCCCCACCACAGCTAAATCTAACAAAGAGTGATTTTGAAACTTACCTACTGTTCGTTTGTGGCGTAAATTTTCTTAACTTACATGATTAAACCAAATATATGTTTCTTGAGTGTTTGCATTTTCACTGAGCACTGAAAATACGCTCTAATTGCCCAGAGGTGGATGGTCCGCTCTGTGGATTTCCTAGCTTCCTTTACCAAGAAAAACCCTGCTTCAAAAGTGTAGATTTCTCCTTTACCCCCTTTATTTAAGCACAGCAGCATTTGGGAATGGTCTTTAAAATTACTAATTTAGCTTCCTTACCCCAGAAAATGTCAACTCTCATCTTGCAGAGCTAAGTCAACTCTGTTCAAGGTTTTACCTCACTTTGATACGAAATGTTCCTGTTAGAATCCTATCTCCCGGGACCCCTGGGTGGCACGGTTGGTTAGGTGCCTGACCTTGGTTTTGGCTCAGGTTATGACTTCAGGGTCGTGGGATTGAGCCCCTCATCAGACTCTGCACTCAGCGTGGAGTCTGCTTGAGGTTCTCTCTCTTTTCCCTTAGCCCCTCACATGTGTTCTTGTGCTCTCTCTCTCTCTAAAATAAATGAATAAATATTTAAGGAAAAAAAATCCTATCTACCTGATAAAGGCCTAGCTTGTGTCATACCACGTCCCTGAAACCTTCCCAGATCAACTCCAGTCACCTCCAGAATCATAGTCAACAAAAGTACTGCCTTTCACGGCAATTATCTGTTTATCTCTTGCCCACTCCAACGGCCACAGACTGCGGTTTCCCCAAGGACAACCAATGCCCGTGCCTTCCTTCCATTGCCAACATGTAGTCTAGTGTTTTACCGAGGTTCTGGGTCTTACCACGTGCTCGTCCAACCAAACAGCTGTCGTCCACTGCATAGTAGATATTTGGTAGGTACTTCGTGTAAGTATCACAAAATGTCTTTAAGTACAATAGAATCCTCCACAGTTTACAAATAAAATGAAGGCCACAAATGAAAAATCTCTGACCCGTTGAGGATATATAAGGAGTAGGAGCCAGAGTTAAGATTTGAACCAATGTCCTTTCATTGCAAGTTCCCCCATGATTGTACAAACTGAGGGTTGCTGGAGGAGAGGTGGGTGGGGGGATGGGGTAACTGGGCGGTGGGCATTAAGGAGGGCACTTGAAGTAATGAGCATTGGGTGTTATATGCAACTGATGAATCACTAAATTCTACCTCTGAAACAAATAATATATGTTAATTAAATTGAATTTAAATTAAAAAATAAAGAAAGTTCCCTCGTGTCTCTGCTATATCCCGTCCCTTTTGGTCAAAGCCATTACTCAGTCCTTAATCATACTAGTAACTTTTACTCCCTCATTATATATGTGGGTTTATGAGATTGTGGCCTTTGTTAAGACAGATTATAAGCATCTCTTTTGTTCCCACAATGCTTATTCTGGGCTAAATATATAATGTAAGAGGACAGTCTAGAGACTGTCTGCTTACTTCTAAATCGTCTCCTTCCTTTGGGAACCACCTCTCCATCTTTAGGGGATGTTCCCTTGTAGCCACTTCAACACGTGTGATTTCGCCACACCCACCAGAGCTGATAGAAACCTCAAATAAACTGGGCCACTATGTTTTTCTACCCTGGAAATTTGGAACTGTGATTCAGACATGACAAGTCTGTCTAGGTAGACCTATAACAGGTCAACTTTGTCTTCTGTCTGAAGAAGCAGAGAAAATCCTTGAGAACCGAGAGGTGCAAATGCAGGAAGGAGTCATGCAGCGAGAGGCGGACAGAGCTCTGCCAGCTTTCCAGTCTTGCTGGCTCCTTTTTCCCGAGACCCAGATGCCTCCTTGCTCTATGTTGTTATGCCAGAGCCCCCTCTGAGGCTGAAGCTGGCTAAAGATGCTTTCTGCTACTTAAAATCACTAATCAGTAGAGTAGACCTACGAAAGATCCTGTTGGGTGGAACTGAACCCAATTCTCTTCATTTTTCTCTTTCCTGAGGCCAAGGGGGGAAGCCAGAAGCTTTGTAGCTTTTATAAGTCAGACTTTCCATAGAGTGTTCCCTTGTTATTTGCTCAAAATGCTGAGGATACCAAGAATATCAGAAACACACATACACACAGACACATATTCTTAAAATATAAATTGCTTTCTCGTTATTGCCTTTTAGAGCTATCTGCACTATCACTTTTCTCCTTTGGACAAATTCTTGAAATGACGGCAAGTGACATTCTTAACTTGATCGAAAAATCTGCTCCAGAAACACTTGCTCTTCAGCCCAGGTTTTATTCTGAAGTTGGAAACTAACAAATAAAGCAAAACACACACACACACAGTGATGACCAATCATCATTACTCTAAACATATCCATTAACACATTTTCATCAACTATGTTTTCTCTGCATAATAAAGCATGGAAAAGAATGAAAACCTTTATTAAATGCCAAGTTCCCGAGGCTTAACCTATCAATACCTGATTTTCATAATTCTATTGGGTAAGGAGGCTATCTGGGTAAGTAAAGTTTGCCCTTGGGACTTGGAAGCATTTTAATTTTATCTACTAACTATATCTTTATAAACTGTACTAAATGCATATGGCCCAATATTCACAGAATATTGGGCCATTTAACCTTTCTTCCTGATCACATAGCAATCATTTCATTAGGTTATAGGGACCCCCATTGAGATTTTTTTTTTCTCATTAAAGCTATTTTTTTTTTTTTAAGCATTCGCTTACATCTCATTTAACTGGCACAAAAATTATCCTAAGGTTGGTTTCTGGTAAGGGGAGTTGGGGAGAGGAGAGGAAAGAGAGATGGAAATGACGTAAGTAATACGGGATCCTAATCTCATCTTCTAGAGAGGACGGCCACACAGTCCGTCCTCACAAACATCACTTGGCGGTAGCTGGCTGCCACACAGCGAGGCCTTCAGAAAACACTCAGGGGTGCTTAGGGATATTTGCTCTGCATTAAATGATCCCAGACTGTTGTGCCTTCTTCTTGCTGTGTTCCATCTCCATCCCTGCCGTTAGCTGTCACTTCGCCCCGTAGCCGGTGCGTCTGTTCCTCATGGCTTCCTCCCATCTTTCCACATCTTTGATGTGTTTCATTTTCTTCCAGCAGCAGCCTAGGAAAAACTCCAGCATGCCAGGGGAAAACCACAGACGCAAGCTAGCTTTTTATTACCCTGATTTTGCTCGCAATGCTGTTAGAGCATTCTAGAAGTGGAGTCACTCGCTCTCCTCTCCTATGGAATAGTCACCAGGATTTGGAGACTTGCTCGTCTGTTCTGCCCATGGCATTTCCACATACCGGAAAGGGGTGTGGTTTTCTTTTCGGATGTTGATCCAAGTTTACAATAGGTAAGAAAGGTATTACTGCACTTGCTCTTTTTTTTTTTAAGATTTTATTCATTTATTTGACAGAGAGAGAGAGAGATCACAAGTAGACAGAAAGGCAGGCAGAGAGGGAGAAGCAGGCAGAGAGCCCAATGCGGGGCTCGATCCCAGGACCCCGAGATCATGACCTGAGCCAAAGGCAGAGGCTCAACACACTGAGTCACCCAGGCGCCCCTACTGCACTTGCTCTTGAAGAGTGCTGATAATTGTCTGATAATTGCTCTCGAGTGTTTCTACCTTTTTCTACCTGCCCAGCTAGAGATTACATGGCCCAGCTTCCTCTTCAGTTACTGTGGCCTGGTGACTGCATTTTCTCTCGTGAAATGTGACTAGAAGAGATAGGCGCAACTCCCCCCTACTATCCTAACAGAAAATCGCTTCATCTGGACTTCCTGTTTTCTTCCGTTCAGAGACCAGTCTGGATCCCACAGACCAGGATGGCAGCCTAGGGAATAGTACCATTTATGGAACACAGAGGCACTCCCTTTCCCAGAACTACTCAAGAGAGTTGCATACAAGGAAATAAATCTTCATTTTACTTGGAAAACTCTAATTTGGGGTCTTTTCATTACACCAACTTGGATATTACCCTAACATAGAAATCTTATCATTCCCAAATACTTAAGGGATTGTATTCTAAAAGTTGATTTGGACACAACAGTGTGAAGAATGAACTACTACTGGTAATAAACCACTGATATTAGAAAGAGAGAAGTAAACTTTTTTTACTTGCAGATGACATAGATGTACATGCAGAAAATCCTAAGGAATCCACAAAAAGCTATAAAAAATTAATTTAGCAGGAGCACAGGATACAAGATGAATGTTGAGCCGTGCGTAAACTTAGACATGTTACCTCTACTGCATGTTTTGAGCGTTAAAGTTCATTGGTTTATTTGTTCATTCATTCAGTTCTTTTGATGAGCAAACAGTGCTCACTACATGTCAGCTCTTATGTAAATTGCTGGAGATACATAGATTACATTGATGTGCAAGGCAGAGCCTCTGGTCCCTAAGAGTTTTTGGTCGGGAAGCCTGACATTTAAACCAATAGC